CGCCCCGCAAACCACCCACCACCACCACCACCACCTCTTGCCCCCCCCCCCCACCCCGCCCCCTAGCACACCCCCCCCCGCCCCCCCGCCCCGCCCACCCCCCCGCCCGCCCACTCACCTGCGCGCGCCGCGACCGCCGCCGCCGCTGCGCGCGCGCTCTCGCGCGCGCCCGCTCGCGCGCAAATGCGCGCGCGCGTCCTGTGCGCGCGCGCCTTGCTCCATGCGCGCGGAAACCAACTGCGAATGATCCCCAAACCACCGCGCGCCGCCCGCCGCTCATTCACCCTGCCTGCGCGCTGATCTCGGCGCCGCCCATTGTCGACTCGAGTGCGCTGCCGCCACTCAGAATTGCGCCGCCCTGGCCACTCGCGCCTGAACGTTCAGCCGCTCGCGCGCCCGACCTGGCCAGCGCGCGCTTGGCTGGGCGCTGTCGCTGTGCATTCCTATGGTAAGGTAATAGACGGCCCAAAGGCGATAGCGCGAGGTTGCCCGCGGCCCAAGGGCCTAGCCTCAAGGTTACACGTGGTGGTTTAAGTTTTCGCCCTCCCCTAGCAGCGGTTTTGTTTTGGTAGTCTGTCCCACAGCGTGCAACGAACTGTGCAGATTGGTTGGTGCAGTTAGCGAAAAGGGATCCTAGTCGCCGCGGCCGCAAAGGCACGGCCTTCTACGTCGGCATCTGGACCGCGGGGTGGCGTCGATCAGCAGTTTCGGGCGCGCCGTCTGGTGGCACTGAAAGTGCGCCGCGCGCGCTTTCAGTGCCACGGGTCGGCGCGCGCGCACGCGCGCGCGCGGACTGCCTCCAGAACCATCACTGCGCAGCGCGCGCCATGTCACGCGCGCGAACGGCCGCCATCAACGCCGCTACGCCCACCGCCACGCGCGCAAGCATGCGCGCGCCACCGAACACGTCCAACGTGCAAGCGCTCTTGCTCACGCCGACATTGCCACCGTTCACCGCCACCGCCGCGCGCCCGCCTTGCCGATGCCCACATCTCGGCGTCCGCGCGTTGGACCTTGACTTGCCCCCCCCCCCCCCTCTGCACCCCCGCCCCCCGCCCCACCCGCCCACCCCCCGCGCCGCGCGCGCGCGCATGCACGCACTCACGCGCACATGCAAGCACTCGCGCACGCACGCGCGCACGCGCGCGCGCACACGCGCGCGCGCACCGCGCGCCACCCCGCACCCCCCCCCCCCCCGCCCGCCACCCTCCCCGCCCAGCCTTTCCAGCCGCGCACCGCCTGCGCGCGCCGCCCAGCCAAGCCTTCATCGCGAATGCGCCTCTCTTCCCCGCCCGCCCCCCTTGCCCAGAGAACAGCGCGCCCGCCTGCAACTCGCGCCCACGCGCGCATGCACGCAGACCTCATTCACCGCGCACGCATGCACGCGCGCGCACGCCCCCCCCCCCCCTTCCTCTACCGACCGCCCCCCCGCCCCCCATCCACCCCCCCACCACCGCGCACAAACGCGCGCATAACCACCACCACCGCCATTGCCACCCCACCCCGCCGACCACCAGCACCATAACCGCGCGCCCCCTTATCCCCCACGCACGCACCCGCGCATCGACACCACCGCGCCACAACGCAGCGCTTACCATGCATTGCTCGCGCTATCGCCGCAACAACCATGGTGAGCCCGACAAAGCCACGAAGCGACTGACTATTGCAACGTCACTGGCGCGATGGTTGGTTTCTCCACGAGCCATCGCTTGACCACATCAAACGTCAACCTCGGACGCGATCGCGAGCGCAGTATCATCGCTACCCACTTCCAGCTGCATGATACAAAACAGGCGCACGACTGCACGCGCGGCGCCCCCCACGTTTCGACGATGCGCCATGTGCAGCCAATGCGAACCAAACCGCGCTTTGTCGGGGAAACAAGCTGCAACGGCACAACGCAGTGCAAAACGGACACGCCTCTTCCTCATGCGTGCTCTTCCAGCCTCTTCTCTGGGCAGAAACCACGTGACGTGGAAAACGGCGCGCGCTCGGGCTCCGGTGCTCTGGTGCAGGGGCGATCGTCCCGCGCCGACATTTCTAGATACCAATGTAGTTAAACCAGCCATGCAATTAAACGTACTCTACTATAGATTTCAGCCATGCATATTAATATTGTTGGGTTTCTCGTGCCCGATGGGCTTTCAAACGTTAAAAAGGGCCAGCCAAACAAGCATGTATTGCAAAGCGTCCATCGCAGGTCCTGGCCCTGGCTTCTTGCGCCCCAAAACAGGGCCCCTTTTATACGCTGCAAAGCCCTTGTGGGCGCGGATCACTGCGACGCCTGTCGGTTGGAATGTTGCCCCCCCTCCGAGCTGATAAACAAAAGGAACAGGGGGACTTGGGGGCGCTTCCATTGGTTTTAGGGCCACCCACCAAACACGCGCAATGATGTCTTCAAGTGTTCTGGGTGCCCCGATAACGACCTGCAATGATGCCCTCCGTGGCTGTTTTGGCTCGAATCAAGTTCGTTTCTTCTTTTCTCTGTGTAACCAACAATATCAGCGGTTGCTTCCGTGACGAGAGCAGCATGGTCAAATCGAGGGCCGACCTTCAGACAGAGAACGCCGAGCTCAAACAGAAGGTCAAGAAACTCCAGAAGGCAGTGAACGACAAAGACAAGGCTCTCGCTGCCATCAACGCACTTGGTCTCAAAATCTATGAGGTATCGGATAAGCAGATCCCAGAGGACACCCCCCGTGTCGCACCGAAGGTGAGCAAAAAAAAGAAGGGCTACGGTGGCCCACCGCGCGTACTTCCGCTTGGCTACATTCCAGAGTCCCAGCGCGACGACTAGTTCGTTCGTCTGCGCGGGCGCAAGAGCGACCCGACAGCACGAGAGCCTGCTCATTTTTGCCACCAGTCTCCTGTCGCTAGCTCTGTGCAGGCCTCAGTCGCTGTTCGGTGCAGCCCCCAGTCGCCTGCTATTTTGCGTGCCGCGAGCCTGCTGCTCAGTGCAGCCCCCAGTCGCCTGTCGCCAGCTGTCTTGCAGTTCGCGCGCCTGGTACGGGTATGGCCGAGCGAATCTTTGTCACCATCAGTGCGTACCAGTGCCCATCAGTCCATCAGTGCGCACCGTGGGCACTCATCAGCGATGCATCGCCCTGGCCATCGCCAGCCTCCCTTTTGTTGGGATCCCCGCGCCCCCCATTAGCAGCCAGGGGGGGAAGCATGGCCTAACGCTTGATCGAACCACGCTCCGATGAGCACGGGGGCAAGGCTGAGGAGGAGGAGGAGAAGGAGGAGGAGTAGGAGTAGGAGTAGGAGGAGGAGGAGGAGGAGGAGGAGGAGGAGGTGGGGGATAGGGAGTAGCAGGAGAAAGTGGAGGGGGTAAGGAGGAGGGCGAGGAGGATCGTGATACTGAGGACCAGCATGAGGTGAAGGACGAGGAGGCTAGGTATCATGAGGATGAGGGGGCTGCTGATCTGAAGGATGAGGTCAACGCGTGCTTGGGCATTCAAAATTAACGGCCGCGGGCCACTAAACGTGCACATGGCAAAATCAACAACGAAACGTCAACAATAAATACGACGACGAAGAAGACTTGGATGATAAGAAGGATGAAAAGGCCGCTGCTACCGTCCTGGTCTGTACTAGGTTGCGCCACCGATGCCACTTCGGGTCCCTAGAACGCGTTTGATTGCAAAGTCCCAGGTCTGATGGGGTCTCCAGGGTGTACAAAAAGGCGTGACTGGGCATGGTCGTAGACAGCCCTCCCCCTATCCACACCCCGTTAAGGCTCCTGGGAGGGCGGTTTTGGCAGAGCACAGTTCGCAGCACATTCTGGAGGGACCCTTTGCGTTTTCAACTCCCTCATGTTGTGCACGCGTCCGGCTCCGCAGAGCCAAGTGTCCCACAATGGCCCAAAGTGAGCTGGTCGGATCTGGGCTCCGTTTTCGCTCCTCCTCCCCCTCCTCCTCCCGTGTCTGGTCCGTGAGCTGGCCGTCTTTCTTCACGCCTTGTATCCCCTGCATGAACGTCCTTGCCCTTGTTCAATAGAGGTTCGCATTCGGCCCTCGTGGCTCCCCTTCCCGCATGCCCCTGCCCTCTACCCACCGACCCTCATTCATATCCGTGGCACTCCCCCTCCTCCTCCTTGCCACCTTCCGTCCACCAGTTGGCCGTTTTGGCTCAACCGTCTTCGCCGCATTGGGCGTCAGAGCAATCGCAGACTGTCACTCGAAGAGTTGCGGCACCGATCGATGGCTGAACGTGCTGAAGACATCGATGTTTTTTTTGATGACGGTATGAGTCCCGAGAAAGAGGAGCCAGTCGCCATGGTGGTTTGTGGCATCTGTGATGAGTCGGGCCCGAAGGAGGAACTCAGCCACGAGTACAAGGGGATGATGCTGCACCAAGTATGCTGGAACGGGCTGCGGGCGCACAACAACTGCATCAAGACTGCGCCTGCGCACATCAAGGCCCAGGTCTTTGAGGAGTTCCAGAGCGACCGCCCTGCTTGGAAGAAACGCATGATGGCATGGAAGGACCCGAGCAAGCAATCACGGGAGGTCGCTCGCAATGACGTGGTGAAGAGTTTCAAGGCAGGTGTCGAGCATTCGACACACCAGAGCAACCTGAGCCTTGACGATGACATGGTCGTCAGCCTTATCGAGTTCCAGAGTTGGAAAGGGTTTTGGCATCGCACGACGGACGAGCAGTCTAAGATGGAATTCGAGCGCTTGCACCAGTCCCAGCAGGGGCAACACGACCTCAAGGACGCCAAGGGCGCCGTCATCGAGCGGAAGATCGCGTACAAGGACATCGGCAGGTTCCGCAAGGAGCGGGGCGCCACCGAGAAGTCGTTCACCAAGGAGACCTCGGAGGTGTCTGAGTTCGAGTACCAGCAGAAGCGCGGGCGTTTCTCTGTCAAATCTGCTCCCGCTGGCCCTGGGCCCAGCTCCTTGGCATCGGCAGCGCCCCCCCTTGAGTCATCTACGCGGGTGTATTCGTCGGAGCACTGGGTTGTTGGCGGGGATTCGGCGTCGACGCGTTCCGCAGGGACTTTGAGCGCTGAGACTCTGGCTCAGAACTTGGCGAGTTCTCCCAAGGACGGCAACGACGTTGGGGCACAGGGGCAGGCGTCGGACCACGGGAAGCAGTCATCAGCAGGAGGCGGTTCGAAGCCCAAGTTGTTCAACGCGAAGCTGGGGATCAGCATCGACGACCAGACCAGGGAGCGCACCATCCCCTCGGGCCCAGAGGTAGAGGCCATGGAGCCCATCAGCTTCATGGAGGCGAAGCGGCTGTGGGCCGCCATGGCCGCACACGTCGTGAAAGGGTTTTTGGACCCCACCAGCGGCTACGTGAAGCAGCTCAACACTGCCAGCCAGGCGGTGGGCAAGGACAAGGAAGGCGATTTGCACCAGCCCACGTCGGAGTTGGTTGACAAGCTCACGGGCGTGGCAACGGAGCTCGAGACCTATGTCAGCAAGTGCGGGGAGCAGTGCACCAAGGCGGAGTTCGTCAAGCACGTGGTGGTGATGGACGCCAAGATGACCGACCTCGACGGGCAGAGGAAGCACGTGCAGTCGCAGCTCAGCGGGCTCAAGTACTTGCAGGAGAAGTTCGGCCACAACAAATCGATCGCGTACATGGGCCACTACAACAGGCGCGTCAAGATCACCAAGCGTTTGCAGAAGGGGGGCTTTGGAAAGGAATACGCCGACGCCATGAGTCGGGCTCTGTACGCAGCGACTGGCGACGAACAGCGAGCTTCTCTGACCGAGGCTGGAAAAGGCTCGTCCAAAGGCAAGACTAGAAAGGTGCTTCCCTTCCGAGGTGACGTCGAGGTGGACTTGGAGTTCAACGGCGACAAGGTCGCCATGTGGAAGGACCCTGAGACAGCGACGCTCGGGGTGATCAAGGACTTCATCGATAAGAACAATGAGGCGATCACGAGCAAGCTCAAAGTCCACCAGGAGCAGTTTGATGAGAACGGCGCCAAGTGGATCGGCTGTTGCGGGCGCCTGGGCTCCAGCGTCACGAAGGTGGACTTCGGCCAGGTGGGCTCGGAGGTCTACGACCTCCTCGAGGGGGGGCTGGTGCCGTGGGTCTGCACGGTGAAGCCAGACAGCCCCCGCGTGGGGCCGTCAGCGGTCCCCCTTTCGGGCTACGAGTGCGTGCTGGTGCCATTGACGCCCAACATGGCGTACTTCGTTCACCCCGTGGCGGAAGTGGTAGCCCAGGGGGTCTCGCTCAAAGACATCATGAAATTCTTCGAGACAGAGGAAGGGGCCAAGATCAACCAGGCTAGCTTCATCCTCCAGCCTGAGGTCGGGCAAGCGGCCCACGTTCCGTGCGGGCACGTCGCGCAGGTGCTCTTCTACCCCGTGGAGGCAGCAGCGACCTCCAGCAAGACCTGCAACCTCGGCCACACGTTGTTCACCCCCCTGCTGCACGGCGGCAGGTTTAAGGCCAGGGTGGCGGTGAGGAGGGGGAGATGGTGAGGAGGAGGAGGAGGGGGAGGAAGGAGGAGGATGAGGAGGAGGAGTGAGGAGGAGGGCGAAGATGAGGAGGAGGAACGATACTGTTTTTTGTTTGCAATGAGCGCCCTCCTCCACCTCCTCCTCCTCCCCCCGACCCTTTGGCCATTATCGTCCTCATCTTGCCGATGCTGCTGCCCTTAATTCCCTCCGCATCCATCTCCCCCCTGCCCTTGTACCGTGAAGCCTCCTGCTCGTGCTCCCTCCAGCTCCACTACTCACTTCTTCACCGCCCTCCCCTTCCCCTCTGGGCGCTTCGTCGCTCCCTCGAGGCCCTGGACGGGGCCGCGGGCACAGCTGTCAAGACGTCCAACATGGACTACATGCGCACAATGAGCAGCGCCATGTACAAGGATCGGCTCAGCTCATTGACGCGCTTCCATAGCGAGTGAGTGGAGGCGCAGGACGCAGGAGCGGGCGGCGCGGCCCTCGACGTGCGTGCTCGTGACATCGGCGCTCGCATGCACTCACGATCACACCCACTTTGAGAGCACAATCGCACGCTCGCACACACAAAGGTTCACACGCCACTGCGCGCACAATGCCATATTTTTTGGGAGGCCGAGTCGTCGGCGAGCGTCGGACATTTAGATGCTCGGATCTTGGTCCAACGGGGAGTGCTGCTGCCGCAAGTGTGGGGAGAACGGTAGCGAGCTCTCGATCGGTCTCTCGGTGCATGCAGTGCGCCGTGTTCTACTCGTGCCTCCCTATTGTCACGTTTCGTTGGCCACCGTCGTCGGCGTCGCCATTGCTATCGAGACATGCTCGTGGCATCGCAGTCTGCTCATTCAAGTCGCCGTCGCCGTAGTCAGCCATTCCACCGAGATGATGCTAGTCACGATCGCCGTCGCCATCGCAGTCGCTTGCGTCACCGTCGCAAGCACGAGCGCGCGAGCAGGGGGGATGAGAAGGATGTGGAGGAACATGATGAATGGGAGGAGGGGGAGGAGGAGGGGGAGGAGGGGGAGGAGGGGGAGGAGGAGGAGGAGGAGGAGGAGGCCTGGTCAGACTGCGTTCACCATTCATCTCTCACGTGCTACCTGGCATTGTATTCAACCCTGGGGTCTTCGAATGCTAGCCCTGCCTTCCGCCGCCCCCACCCAAGGACCTGGCCTTCTTGGATGCTCGCCCCAGGTCTGGTTTATGTATTTGTTTCGCGGGCCCTGCGGGGGCCCAATGCAATCCTACCGTGCGCTAGCTCAAGGTGCCCCCCCCCCCTCCATGGGTGAGCCCGTGCTAGCCTTTTTCTGGTGCCCCCCCATTCAATGTGCCAGAGCACCCCCCCCCGTCATCATCATGGCAACTGTCCTCATGCCCCCCTCCACCCCCGCCCTTTTCATCATCCTGCCTGTCCTCATTTTTTGTTGCGATTGGCGCGCGGCCGTCGGCCACCAACTCGTCAATAACTTACCCGCCTACGCTAGCACCCAACGTCAACAATATATAGATGAGACCACGCTGTGGCTTATCTACATGAGCTTCGTGCTCAAGCCATCGGCCTTGCTCGCCGAACACCCGCGCACTCCGCGCAATCATGTGAACCCGCACCAACTGGGCACGACCCATACGCCATGAGCAATGCACTTGGGTACCCAACGCACTGCTATGCACCACGCGCCCTGAGCCCACCTCTACACGCCCTGACCCATCACCCTTTGCACAAGTGGGCGCGCGAAGGACCCTGCGCGGAAATGCGTTAAAGCATTGCTTCGCGAGGCAGCTCGAAAGCCATCCGCGCGCAGACGACTGCGCATTGACTCGTAATGCCTGCGCAACTCGCGCGGCACATCAAGATACGGGCGCGGGCCGCCATCGCGCGATATCATGCGATGCAGTTTGGCACACCCACGCTTCGCATTTCATTGGGCTCGGAACGTGCGAACGCTGACGCATGCCAAGGCGCGCTCGCGAGCTCGTGGCGCACTTTCAGTGCCGCGGGACGGCACGCCCGAAACCATTGATCGACGCTAGCCCGTGATCCAGATGCCGACCTTGAATACCGATCGTGATGGCGCATCGATTCGCCGTGCCTTTGCGGCCGCGACGACTAGGATCCCTTTCCCCAAACTGCACCAAGCAATATGCACAGTTCGTTGCACGCTGTGGGACAACCTACCAAAAACCACCGCTATTAAGGGAGGACGAAAACTTAAACCACCACATATAACCTTGAGGCTAGGCCCTTGGGCCGCGGGCAACCTTGCGCTTTCGCCTTTGGGCCAGATATTACCTTATTCAAGGAATGCCCCACGACAGTGTCTAGCCAGTCTCGGGTGTTGCTTTGCATTGCAGATGCGTTGGCGTGTGAAGACGCATGCAGTATAGGCGTGCCATGGGTCTTGGTTTGGCAGTCTTGGGGTCGTTGCTTCGATCGCCGCTGTGTCCGACTGTGAGGAAGGGGCTTAGATATGCATCGCGCAGGACATTGCTTCCCCTCGGCCGCATCGCGTGGTTGGAGGGCGGAGGAGCGACTGGAATGAGGGCGGCCATCAACAACGCGCTCTACTGCATCGAGGCGGGGAGTGCGTACTATGACCACCACGCGCCGACGAAAACCATCAGGTGGGCCTGCAGCGTCGACAGCACCGAGACCAAGATGGAAAAGATCTGGGAGTTGCAGAAGTCCTGGCAGTTCCAGAAGATGACCAAGCAGCTCGATGATCAGGCTGCGGATGGTGCCGAGACCACGCCTCCAGGTTCGAAGCGAGCTCGCGTTGATGAGTCAGGCCAGAAAGCTACGAAGGCTGAAGCTGGCGCTGCTGCTGGCGGAGCTCGCGGGGGCAGTGGAGCTGACGGTGAAGCTGACGGCGCAGCTGGCAGGGATCGCAAAGGCAGAGCTGGCAAGACCGAGGCGCCGACCGACCCCAAGGCCAAGAACAAGGCGAACAGGGGGCAGGGGGGGCATGGCTGTGCCGAAATCGAAGGGATTGGCTGCGCTGACGGGGTCTGCTGAGGTCAAGGCCAAAGCGATGAGGGGCATGTACGCAGTCGCGACCAACCAGGCGGCGAATTTGGAGAGTTCGATGAAGACAGACCCGAAGTACTCCTGGGCAGGATCGGACAGGGAGGAGCTCGTGAAGATGATGACGAATTTGAAGGGGATTCCAGAGAAGGACCAAATATTCAACCAGCAGTTCGTCAACGACGTGAGCTACCCAGACTTCCGCACGAGCTGCCTGAAGACCATGACCATGGACAAGTTCGAGCTCAACCTCGACAATTTTTCGCAGAATATTGATAGCCCCTTGCTGGAGCTCATGGACCATATGGCCATGATCGGCAGGCAGCTCGCCTCCCACCAGAACCAGTAGGCAGCCAGGCGCACTTTGCTTCCCCTCATCCTCACCCTCATTTCATCAGCATCCTCACCCTCCTCTCATCCTCATCCTCGCCTTCATGCCCTCAGAGGCCTTCTGTCCTACACGATCACTCTTCCATCTCCTGTGCGCCCACATTTGCCCGCAGATTTTGCGAGCAGCGCGTCTCTGGCGAGAAGTGCCATGTGCGTCTGGGCGTGCGAGGCGTGGTTGAGCAGGCGTGCATGTGGAGAACGCGAGCCAGAGCTCTTGGGGTGCTCGGCGGGGCAAGCGTCGTTAGAACTCGGGGTCGTTCTAATGTCACCGCATAGGCGCTATAGTTTCTTGAAGTCCGATGCGCAACTTGTCTTTGAAACCCAGGGGTCCTAGGAAGTGGTGGCTATCTAATGCATGACCACACATTGCAATGCACATGCAGTTGCACATTGGACACAACAGCACGGGCAGCCGCGCGCGCGGGAGCCATCGCGAGCTCGAGCTCCCATCGCCTCGAGTAGCGATCGGCATTCTGCTTTTAGTTCCAAGATGCCCCTGCTACTATCGGAAATCACGATAATAACACAATCTACTTACATATCCTACTGAATCTTCAGATTTCCCCAGGACCAGCGGAAAACAACGAAAACCACTGCGATGGACGACCGGTGGAGTCCATCGCAACCGGCGGAATCCATCGCATGCGAGGGGCCCCAAACCCACGCGATGGACCCCTACATCCCTCCATCGCGAGCGATGGGCCCGAGCGAATCGCCTGAGACATCCTCACAAAACCATAGATTCCATCGCAAGCGGTGGACTCCGTCGCACGCGATGGACCCGATGGACTGGTCCATCGCGGCCAGGGGGGAGCGATGGAATCGCGATGGAACCTCGATGGAAGCGAATTTGAAACGACTCTCTTGATTGTGACCGATTTCGCACAGATATCTTCCTACTTGCATAATCTTCCACTTCCCTGCCACACTCTACCCTCCCCTGACTTCCCCCCCCCTGCTTCTGCCCCACCCCGTGCACCTTCGACCGAATGCGTAGCACGATGCCTTGGTGATCTCCAGTGGCCTGCGCAGGGGCGCGGCAGCATGCACTGTCCTTCCTCCTGTCCCTTTGCCGCTCTGGCTTTGCAGCTCAGCTCGAGTAGTGTTCTGCGCGGCAGGCCTGCGATGGCTGACGATTCCGATTCAGAGCAGCGCCGGCAATGGAGAGATGCTGGCCATAAGCCGTTGCACCACCTGATTGCTTTGAAAGCTCAATGTAAGATCACGGCCGCTGATCTAGCGATTGCGCGCCACTACTGTCGTGGCGCAGGCGCGCTTGGAGCTGATTTTGGGAAGTGCGCCATGGCACCTGGGAGGCCTCCTGGGAATTACAAAAAAAAGCTCGACCGAATTTGCCTGATCCTGGGCCGCTGATTTGGATCAAAGTCCCTGGCGTACACCATCGAACCGAGACGCGTGTTCAGCATGATATACCTTTGCCTGCTGTTGGGGAAGTAATTGCAGATGAAGCCGAACAAATCCAGATATGATCGAGGCAGTGGGCGAACGTCGATGGCCTGTAGTTTATCAGCGGCATGCAATTGTTCGGGATGCCGCCGGCAAGGGCGAGGGCCCCGTGCTCCCCCTCGCTTACTTCTCCGACGGCGTTCGATACACGAGCGCGATCTCGGGGCAGCCTCGAACGATCTCAGGAGTGTGGCTAGTGAACCTCCAGACGCAAAAACGCTATTGGATCGGGGGGATGCCTTCGCAAGATACATGCCGCTGTGGATGCAGGGGGTGGTGCAGCGTATTTCCAAGTATGAATTGTGTATCGTGGATGCTGGGTCAATTGGCACGCGGCATGCGCTCCCCCACTCAGCGCGATAATTAGCAGTACGACCCTGCTGACCCGCTTGCAACCATCATCCAAGAGAAGGGGGTTGCAGCTGGGGGTTCGGGCATGTGTGATGTTGGGTCAAAGGTGATCTCAAGGAGGCATCCCCTATGTTGGGGCTCCCTGACGTGCAATCGACTCATCATTTTTGCCCTCAATGCAACGCCACTGGAAACGATACGCATGATAAGTATGACGCGCGCAGCCTGTGCGAACACCCCTGGGAGGCCAGGGGCCAAACCGACTAGGACAGGGCCTGCCAAAGCTTAAAAATAACAAGGAGAATC